GTGATTGGCTGATTAGAAATTAAGTGTTAACGAGCAGTTGGACAGGTGTACCTAATAAAGTGGCTGGTGAGTGTATACTGTCTAATGAGAAACATTTTCAGGTGAGAGTGAAAAAAAAATACTATATTCCATCCTCAATATCTCTAAAACCACAGCAGCTGTTTTAATACTTAAACTTCTGATAAAATCTCCCACATGTTAGCTTTGTTTTGATACCAAGATAATTTAGGTAGAGTTTGTAAATGCTGATGTATACTCAGTTACATTTCGGCACGGCATTTTGAGCAAAAACTTCAAGAAAACAACTTGAGGCTTAAGAGGTTAATAATCCACTAAATTCAGATTATATAACTCAGGCTTGCTTCATATTCTCAGTGAGAGCCGTATTGTAAAACTGACTYCTAGTTGTTTTTGATTTTCATTAAAATCCATCCAGTGGTTCCTGAGATTTCGCTAACAGACACTCATGTGTGTCTGATTTTGCATCGTCTCATTGGCTGATTGGTTCTGTGGTTTCACAGGGGGTCCTCTGACTGTGACAGATGCTAACTTGGCTCTGGGTCGCCTCCTTCCGTCTTTCTTCCCAAAAATCTTTGGACCAGAGGAGAACGAAGCCCTGTCCGTGGAGGAGACCATGAAAAATTTCCATCTTCTCACAGATGAGATCAACCTTTTCCTGTCTTCCAACCAATCCAAGGCACTGAACTAAGATGTTTTTTTCTAATTCTGAAGCAGTAAATAAAACAAAAACATTAACATAAATATATTTTTATTAATATTATTTGTATTAAAGGTTGGAGCAAATGGGACCAATAAATCACAGAACAGCGTGGTGCCTAACAGCCAATCAGAGATGAGTGTGGAAGAGGTTGCTATGGGATTCGTTCGTGTTGCTAACGAGGCCATGTGTCGACCAATCAGAGCTCTGACTCAGGTATTATTATGTAGATGCTGATTCAGCAAAAATCTGAAAACAATACTGGTCCTGATTTTCTTTTTCTTTCTGTTTRTTGCAACTGCATTTGCATTTTTATGCTATTTTAACCATTAATTTATTCAAATGTTCAGCTCATTCAGGAGAGACTTTTGGTTTTTGTGACTTTTATACTTTTCCGAATTTTTATTTTCGAAACTTTTCACCATATAAATTTCTTCAGTTCTTTCAAAAATACATTGTTCTGTTTGAAATCTGCAAACAGCAGTTTTATTTTATGCCACATTTAGTCTCCCGTACCATTTTTCTGCCTTTAGCTTTAGCTAACCTTTTAGCTACTTTTAGCTAGCAATTTGCTTCTTTAGCTTTTAGTTTCTTCTTTAAGCAAATTTAGCAAATTTCTGTAAAATCATTCGTGTTCACACTGCAGTTTCTTTAGAGTTTCAGTCTTTCTTTTTTAATTGTTGTTTCATCATAAAAAAAATGTATTTTTATTGTTTTACATATTTTCTTTTCCACAGGCCAAGGGTCACGATACTTCGCAGCATGTGTTGGCATGTTTCGGAGGTGCAGGTGGCCAACATGCCTGTGCCATCGCCCGAGCCCTGGGGATGAAGACTGTCTTCATACATAAGTAAAGCAGATGAGGACTGTGGGTGGGGCTTGAGGACTGGGGGCGGGGCTTGTAGTTGCAGAACAGTGGCTAAAACCGGTCTGCTTCTTGTCTGCGTGTTTCGCAGGTACAGCGGCGTGTTGTCGGCATACGGTCTGGCTCTAGCAGATGTTGTGGAGGAGCAGCAGGAGCCGTGCTCGCTGAAGTACGAGCAGAAGTCTTTCAGCGAGCTCGACCGCAGGATGGAGCAGCTCTCCAAACGCTGCCGCGACACGCTCCAGAGTCGAGGCTTTACGAGGTCAGAGGCAGCGGAAAAACTGACAAATTGGTCTTTAAAGCAGCATTTTAACCGCTAACCTAATATATTCTTGTCCTCATCAGTGGTCAGTTAACCACTGAGGTTTTTCTCCACATGCGTTACAAAGGCACCGACTGCGCGCTCATGGTTTCTGCTGAYGGTTACCCTTGCAACGCAGAGTCCTGTCGAGCCGGCGATTTCCACACCGCCTTCACCAAACGGTTAGCAGAGTCCTCCTCCATTTAACGCTTTATTTTTWATTATTAAACACATCTGTATCTCTAAACTCTTTACCTCTAGTTACATGAAGGAGTTTGGATTCACCATCCCAGACAGAGACATCATGGTGGATGACATCAGAGTGAGAGGTTGTGGGAAATCTGGAATCCGGTCGGTGTATAAACCGAAGCTGGAACACAGACAAGCCAAACCTGTCATGGTAAACAGTGTCTTCAAAACACAAATAAAACGTGGAATCTTCCCTTAAAGTTAAATCATGCAGGGAAGAGCTGTGATAATTACTATGTGTGTTACTCTATGCAGACGACAAAGTGTTATTTTGAGAACGGTTATTTGGACACAAGTGTGTATCTGTGGGAGGAGCTGCCGTGTGGATGCGCCGTYCAAGGACCGGCCATCATCATTGACAAAAACAGGCAAGAGGATTTTTCCTAWTCTAACTTGCAGMTTGGAAAACTCGCAGTCAMTGGTGGATCTAAGATTTTCCTGAGTAAGGGGCCATCAAGGGGCCACAATATTYATAGAGGGGCCAAGTCTTTGTTCAACATTTCATCATCCTTTCACACAAATCCCCAGTTTTGGTAAGGTGTTTGCATTTAACCATTTATGTTCAAACACTTGTAACGTGATTTTTTTTAAAAAAGCGGACCACTTTATAACAAGGCTCCCCTTATATATGGCTTATAAAGAGTTTATAGATAAGTTATTAATTCATCTGTAAACACTTTATAAATTATTAATAAATGTTTATTATGCATTAATTAGGTCAAGAAAGATACTAAACTGTCCGGTTTCTTTCCAAATAGTGAGCCAAATCACATTTCATACTAGTTTACTACCTTGTGAACACAATAATGATTAGGAAACATATTTTAATGTCCTGATGCATCTCAGTAATCCAGGTAAAAAATCAAAAAGAAAAAATTGTAGAGGTCTTCTGGACGGGTTCTTCTCTAATGAAATGTTTCGTCTCTCCTCCAGGAGACTTCAAGCAAAATTC